GATGTAACTCTGGGTTGAACTGTGAGTGGTAACTCTGGACTAAACTGAATAAATATGTAACTCTGGGTTGAACTGTGAGTGGTAACTCTGGACTAAACTGGGAGCTGTAACTCTGGATTGAACTGAATAAATATGAAACTCTGGGTTGAACTGGAAGTTGTAATTCTGGATTAAACTGGGAGTTAAACTGGAATTATTGAGCATGCATCAGGATAAACTGGGAGTTGTAACTCTGGTTTGAACTGAATAAATATGAAACTCTGGGTTGAACTGGAAGTTGGAACTCTGGATTAAACTGGGAGTTAAACTGGGATTATTAAGCATGCATCAGGATAAACTGGAAGTTGGAACTGGATTAAACTGGGAGTTAAACTGGGATTATTGAGCATGCATCAGGATAAACTGGGAGTTGTAACTCTGGATTGAACTAAATAAATATGTAACTCTGGGTTGAACTGGGAGTTGTAAGTCTGGGTTGAACTGAACTGGGAGCTGTAACATTGGGTTGAACGGAAAAATGTAACTCTGAATTAAACTGGGAGTTGTAACTCTGGATTGAACTGAATAAATATGTAACTCTGGGTTGAACTGGAAGTTCTAACTCTGGTCTGAACTAAACTGGGAGTTGTAACTCTAAGTTGAAACAAGTCCTTCCTACAGTTTAAAAAGTAACTTCAGCCATGACAGGGAAAGGAGAGGTGGGAATGTGTGCACTGACACAGACTAGCGCTGAGGCACTTTCCCAAATACAAACTCTTACAGGGAACATCCTGATGCATGCTCAGTAATCCAGGTAGAAATATCTAACAAAGTTAAGTGAAGTCCTCTGGATGGATTAAAAATAAAAATACTGTAAATAAAAAAAATTGTTGAAACGTTTCATCTTTTATCCAAAAGACTTTGTCAATTTGAAATGAAACGTTTCAACAACTTTTATTTTAAGTTTTAATCCGTCCGGAGGACCTGACTTAACTTTGTTAGATCTTACAGCGAACATGTGTGTAGTGATTCCTGAAATGAACCCGGCTGAGCTGTTGGCTCCAGGGAAACCCAAAGCCTTAGGTCAGTGTCTCCAGTCTCTGAGTGGTCATATAATGGAAAGAATGTAGTCTGGTGGTGCCTTTACGGCTATCAAAAGCTTAAATCTAAATTCTCGACAGCTGTAAAGCTCAAACAAAACCTGGACACACCAAGTCAACTGTTACTGAAAACTGAACAATTCCTGAGTTTTTATTAGCATTTTAGTTGTCTTCTGTCAAAAGCAAAGAGCTGAATGTGTCTGTCTGTCCATCTATCTATAGATATATATGTCACATCCCCATCTAATAAAAAGAGAGGCATACATTAATTTGTACCTGAGGAAACAAACAAAAAATAAGGTGGCTCAAGTTAAATAATATGACAGCCCCCGCTGCATTTCTGTGCTTTAAGTCCAAAAACCGTCAGTGTCTCACAACATGCTACACTCACAGTCAACAGTCCTGTGTGTGTTGTATTACCTTGTTAGGTGAATGTGTGTAAAACCTGAGCCCAGAGAGCTGCAGAAGGACGGAGCCTCTGAGTGTTTACCAAGTAAGGTCATGTTCAGCCTCACAGATCTACACAACTCCACACTTGTTTCAAACACACACCATCAAATGAAAAACACCTGTACAATTTAGACCTTTTCCTGTTTCAAATAAAAGACAAAATTATTGCTCACAGCTTAGTTCTTTATTAGTTCTCTTCTGGACGTGTCAACGTTTGTATTTAGTTGTAACTGTTAACTTCTTCTAAACAAGTTTGATCAAGTAAAACATGAATAACCGATTGGAGGATGGACCAAGGACTCATCTGAGAGCAGCTGGTTAGCCATTACTCTTTCTTTCCAACCTCACATAAACTATTTCACAACAGCTACCAGACAAAATATTTAAAGAAGACAAATTCACCAGGAGGTCGATGGAAAAACACGTGTCTTAGGTCTGCCTGAGGAAAAGAGAAACAGTACATCTACAGCAAAAACAGCACGTTAGCGAGAAAACACATCATACTTTTTTATGCTGCATTAAAACACAACTGCTTATTAAGTTTGTGCTGAAAAATATGAAAGGGGCAAGATTTCTGACTAAATATCAAACTAGCCAAAGAGAAAAATGTGTAACCTGTCAACTTTATGAGAAATTCCAGATCTGAAACAACTGACACATTAGAATAAACTGTTTAATGAGCCGTTTTTATAATTAGCTGTTTTCCACTCTGCATAATAAAGACTTGTTGTTAAATGCAGTACATTTTTTTACTCTATTTACAAATTTTCTGTCCACAGATAAAATAACTCATCTGCTTTGCATCCATCAAATGCAGATTCTATAAATTAAAACTCACAGGCAGATTACATTCATTAAGTAGACCTTTTTACCTTTCTTTGCTTTTTTCTGGAGTTTAAGCGTGTCTGAAGACTTCTTCTTGATTTCCTGTCGAGCTCTTTTGAACTCTGAATCAGACAACAACAAAGGGTTAAATAATGGTTTTAAAGTGCATTAATAACAACTTGTAGGCCTTAAAACGGCGAAACAGAAAACCAGACATATCTATAGGAAACTAATCAGATGTGGTGTAACTGTGTGTGTGATGATGTGAGTTTTGCCACCTTTTGCGTGGTCCTTGTCTAAGGTGTTGACGCCTCTCTTCCACTCCTCCATCTGCTCCTGCAGGGGGCTGATCAAACCCTCCAGGAAACACCTGGACAAATCGCAGGATAAACTTTCTGAGCTCAGGTCACTACCAAACATTTAGCCATTTGTAGTTTGGATTTGAACAAATAAATGGATTTATTTCTTCGGTTCTGCACTTCATCTACTTAAAGAAAAGGGCAGACTGTCGGACTCAGAACTAAAAACACCAAGTGCAGTTTGTCTACGTGCTATTTATTCTTGTGTCAATGATTAACAGACAGACAGGAGGAAGAAAAACTCAGACTGTGAGAAATGGATGTGTGAGCGTCTCTGATTGTGCGTCAAAGGAGAAAGGACAGTCAATCATCACACAAGTATGTAATGTCTTCCCAGACATGTTTGAGAGTGAGTTTCAGAGTGGGAGAGGTGGACAGCTGCCGTCTGAGTAAAACTAAAATTAGACTTGTGTCTCTTACAGTCGTGTGTTAGTAGGTGGTTGTTGATCACAGCCCCACAAGTGTCCAGCCCCCGCAACAGAGACCCAGAAGGAATCTCTACTGAAATGCCAACCAGAATTAAAGAGCCTCTTGTCTACAATGTGTCTGTGTATGTGGGTGCAACTATGATGTAAGTTGTTACGGAGACATTAGAAGCACTTCGCTGCCAGACAAATTGTCTCTATCTCTGAGTTCCTCAACAAAAGCCACTCCTTCACCCTGAAGGTGAAGTAATTAAAACACTTCATTTTATTGAAGCTGAACCTAATGGGCCTTTTCCATAGTTCATCTTCAGCACGACTCGACTCAGTTCGGTACGCTTCCAAGCCCTTTTCCACTATGAGACAGCATGGGTCCAAAGGGATTAGGTGTGTGAGTTGGTATTTGGTACTCCTTACAATGAGAACTGTTTCAGTTTAGCCTCCATGTTACGATGCCTCATACAGATTCTCGTCAGTGCTGACCCAATATCTCTGGTGCCTCCTGAAAAGTAAAAAAAAAAAAAAAATTAATGTCAGGAAAAGAAAACTTCCATACGACAGTTGCTAACAACATCCATATTTATTTTTAGACCCAAAGCTTAGCAATGCCAGCTATCATGCAATTTTACTAGAACCACTACAAATCACCAAGAAAAAACAGGAAGTACAACAAACATTCATGATTGAAATGAGTCAATAAAATATTTTATGAATGGTTTAGAATGTAAAAATCAACAAGCCAGAGCTAGAAGCAATACAATCCAGGCAGACTGCAAAAACATTTTTATAAACCCTCAAAAACTTTAAAAGTAAAGAAAAAAAGAAACCAGATATGAGATCTTCTTATTTCCTACTGTCGGTTTTAAATCATTTTTTTTCTTCTAATTAGCAGTCATCAGAGAGTTTAATGTTTACAACCAACCTGTTTGCCACATTGGTTTGTATAACCTGTAATTATTCTGCTCAATGGAGAAACTCTGACCTTAAACACAGTCAAAAAAATGTAAAAAGAGGATAACACGCATGCCCGCACACACGCACACAAACACACTGTAAAGGAAATATATTATTTATTGATCTGCCTCCTCCATGTCCATCATGGTGGAGGAGTTTGTGGGCCTGGATGATGCTAGTTTTGCTGTCAGGCAGTCTCCCAACGCAGATTGATCCTATATGACAGGCCATACCAAAAGTGATTCAAAACACTTGCACGGACAAAGACAAACAAGGAACTCAATGTCCGTTGCCTGGCTGTGGGTTCCTAGGGCCCCACCCTGAAGGTAGGCCTGAGGGAGGGGCTCGTCGGCGAGCACCTGATGACCCATGGGGCCCGATAGGGCTCAGGGCAAATGAGCAACATGGGCAAAATGGTCTTCCTGTGGGTCCACCACCTGCAGGAGTGGCCATAAAAGTTGGGTGGGCAGTGGCTGAAGGGTGGGAGGGGCTTGGCGCTCTGACCCTGGCTTGGGACATAGAACATAACCTCTCTGGCAGGAAAGGAGCCTGAGCTTGTGGGTGAGGTTGCAAGATACTGACTATAGTTGGGCTCACTTTGACACACATCATGGGCGCCGGAACCAATCTCCTTGAGAGGGACTGGACCTTATTCCACTCTGGAGTTACTCATGGTGAGAGGCACCAAGCTGGTCTGGGTCTATTTTTAGCCCCCCAACTTGGTACCTGTGTGTTGGAGTTTTCTCCAGTTGATGAGAGAGTAGCTTACCTGTGCCTTCAGGTAGAGGGATGGGCTCTGACAGTTGTTTGTGCCTAAGCGTCAAACGGTAGTTCAGAGTATCCAGTCTTATTGGAGTTCTTAGAGGGTTGCTGGAAGGTGCTCCAGCTGGAGACTCCTTTATTCTGGTGGGGGACTTCAATACCCACGTGGGTAACAACAGTGTGACCTGGAGGGGCCTGATTGAGAAGAATGACCTGAATCCTGAATCCAAGCAGTGTCCTGTTGTTGGACTTCTACGCTAGTCACAGTTTTTCCATCACAAACACCATGTTCAAACATAAGGGTGATTGACTTTGTAGTCATGTCATCTGATTTGCAGCCATTTGCTTTGGACACTCGGGTGAAGAGAGGAGCTGAGCTGTCAACTGACCACCACCTGGCCAAAGCGACATGACGTCCCAGTGACTTTCAAACCCCAAAATACATAACCGTAAAGACTGGTTCATCCCAAAGTTCCAGTCTCCTGGCATAAGCAGAGTGATATTGTGTATGCTGTTTAGTGCCAGTAGGATTGTGATCAGTTATACACCAGGGAAAAAAAACAACCACTGGCAAAAAGGATGGCCCAGCACAGAAGAGCAACATCATCAGGCCAGGACTGAGAAGTCTACACTCATCTGCAGGCCAGTGGTCACTCTTTCAGGGATGAAGATGTTCACATCCTTGATAGAGAGGAACATTAGTTTGAGAGAGGAGTAAAGAATTCATCTTTGTGAAGAGAACCCGTTCATCATTAAACAGGAACAGAGGCCTCCGTGTTAAACTGTCACCCTCTTACAAAGCTGTTATTGCGAGTATCACTCAGCCATCTGTGAATAGCAAGCAGCCATCAGGGCACTAACTATCGGCCGTTAAGCTGAAGGTCTTCCTTTTACATGTCAACAACTAGTTTCAGCTGTCACCAGCAAACTGGTTGATCCACTAGTGGCACTTTGCCACTATCTCAACTCTCATTGGCTCCACATAATACCAGTTAAGGGCCTCCCCATTGTCAGTATCCACACCCACTCAGCTCGGTTTGTGGTTTGGGACCACATTATTTTGAGGTTCCAAGCGGGCTGCTCCAAGGGACCGATTTTGATGTAAGCAGAAAGCAGACATTGATTGGCCAGCAGAACTACGTCACCAAATATCCCATCCAGCAAAACTGCAAACTACATCTGAACCTCCATTTCCTCATTGTGTGGACGGACAGCGCCACAAGAAATGAACACATTTACTGAGAGATATCGGAGATAATGGCGCATCACATCTACACCAGGACCTATAAGCAGTGCCAAGATACTTTAACAAAATTCAAGTCAGATTTTGGGCAAACAAGGACCACAATGGACAAAGGGGCTTGAACACAAAAAGACCAGTAATGATCCCGCCCACTTTGCATTAATGATCCCGTTCACAGAGCAAGGAAACAGGTCAAGCTCCAGTGTAGTGGTAAATCACCTACACCTGAGAAGACCTGAGAAGAAAAGGGCCGAGTGGAGCCACACTTACCAAAGGCAAAGCAGCATATGAGATGGTGTTGCTAAGACTGAGTTTGCTTGCTGGTCCTCTGACAGAAGAAGTTATTTGGATAAACAATGAAATGTTTCAACAAAGAAGAACACATCCAGAGAACCTGATTCAACCTTGTTAGACTTAAAATATAAAATTTCCTTACAGAACTATGCCAAAGAAACAAATGAGGAGATTTAAGCATGTCCTGAGAAGGCCAAAAAGACATAAGAGTAGAGAATTAAAGAATACATTTCCCTGACCTGTTTTACTCTCTCTTTTTTTGGACTTTGGTGCCCCACTTTCAACTAATCTTCCTTGTCTGGTCTGACACATATACACCACACAGAAGCAGAATGAATTTACTAAAGGCCTCTAGCAATGGACTAAATTGGTTGGTTACTTTGGTGCTGACGTGTATTTTTATGGTGAGCAGAAATGAGAACACTCACCGGTATGAGCATATGGTCAAGATGTACACAAAGTCTCATGCCTCTATTAATCATTCACAGAAAGGAGGACAGAAGGTCATAATTTCACTGCAATGCACAACTAATGTCTGAGTCATGTTAGTTTTCTACAATCAAAGTTCAGAAACAAAAGTTAGAAACACTGAAGAAAAATGCAAACGGATAAGATTTACAAATCAAAATATCAATTACAAAAATTAATGCATATTTTAATCTCAGTTAAAAAAAAACTAAAACATAAACGGTAGAAAACAGGAACAGGAAACATTTCAATGTGTGTAAATCATACAATAAAATGCCGGTAATTCAAGTTAGTAAAAAAATAGCTTACACTTTGTGACGATACGTGTAAGCTACAGTAATAGATAAATTGAAAACCTTTTTTATAATTATGTTGTCAAAACATCTATAGAAAACCTACGGAATATTCTTGATTTTCTAAAAGATAATTTTATTAATATGTATTACTTTTTACAACTAAATTAATTCCTTTCTTTACCTTAACAATGTTCAAAATATAAATAGATATATCAGTCATCTATTTTAATGTCTCTAAGCTGAAAAGACAAAAGTCAAACAGCAATCTGAACCATGCAATCATGTTACATAATGTTATTCTGAACACCTGGTGTCTGTAAACAGGAGGTAATGACGCCTGACACTAAGTGAGAACAGGAGGAAAAAACATCTAGTTTAATACTCAAGCATTGCTGCAGAGATGTTCAAATCACAACAGAATGATCAGTGACCAGATTCAAAAAGCAACTTCTTAAAAATAATGACACACGCTGAGACTGTTTTATGTTTCTTTCTGTTCATAAAAAACTAAATCAGTTTTGGTAAGAAAGTGATCAACAAAATGACTATAAGACTATGGAAGGATAATGTCAACTTTAAGACCACTCCTATGAGAAGAAATGAAAGGTAGTAAAAAATAATAATAACAAAGACGTTTACTTTATATTTTATTAGACACGAATACCACACCCTGGATGAATCTACACCGGGATTTTACTTAAAGCTTTTTATGAAATCATAGCAAAATGACAATCTTTTAGTTTCTGTTGGGAAATGAGTTAAGTAATTTTTTTCTTAATAAAGCTATAAACACAGCAGCAACCTGTGATAATGTTAGCAGATACACGAAGAGCTTCTTTTATCTCTTCCCTGAAAGCAAATAGGACATCAAGTATATCAACAAAGTCTGTTTTTTAACCTTTTGCACCTAATATGTGGACATTCCAGCAACATTTCCTTTCCCTGCAAAGACAAACCGAGGTCTCTGGTTTGTGCCACACTGGTGATAATTTAAACCAGAGACTGAAGTGTTTGTCAGTGCAACGCAACTCAGCCTTGTTTGCAATAATGACCACCAGATTACATATACCACGAGAATGTCTGACTGTGTGTGTGTGTGTGTCCTTGTTTATGCTACTTTGTGAGGCCCATTTTTCCAACTTATACTACATTGTGAGGACCAACTGCTCCTTATGGGGCCCAAAGCCCGGGCCCCATAAGAAGAAGTCCCGTTGGTGGGTTAGGGGCTAGGTTTAGGACTAAGGTGTGAATTGAGGATGTGTTAGGTTTAGGGTTAGGTATGTACTGGTAATGGTTAGGTTATGGATAAAGGTCATGGTTAGGCTATAGAAATGAATGAAAAATGAATGGAAGTCAATGCAAAGGCCCCATAAAGATAGCAAAACAAACCTGTGTGTGTGTGTGTGTGTGTGTGTGTGTGTGTGTGTGTGTGTGTGTAAAAGAGTTAGAGAGGGAACTTTCTTCCCAACGTCACCCCACGCCCTT